CATTAAAAATTATTCTTAATTTTAAATAAACTCTTTGTGTTTGCTGGGTTGAGTCAATATTGACACTTGAAAATTATATTAAAAAAATAAAAACGATTGAAAAATTAGTTTTTTTCTGAAAATGTTTTCAATAATTTTATAGGAACAACATAACTTTTAGCAGTGTTTATTGCAGCAGCAGGGGCTAAAATTAACGCTTGATATGAACGATTATTGTTAATTTCAACGCAGCCCAAATGCAGTCAAAATACACCCTACACCACACTAATGGGAACGGCATTTTGTTTATGTCTTAAAGTTTGTAACACCTGCGTCGATGTAATGATGTAATCCGTCCATAAATTAGCCTATTGAACTTTTTTGTAAGCGGTACATACTATACAAGAATAGGGTATTTATAAAATTCGACTCAACAAATTTTATATATACGAAATTTTGACTATATATTGTTATAATGAGTAGTACATTCATTAATTAAGCAAACATCAATCTCTTGAATATAACTTCTACATTAAAAAATACTAAATAACTTATTGCTACTTACTCGCAATGTGGTAGGGTATGATGTATTCAGATACATTTTGTACTTTCATATTTTTGTTATTTTATGTAAACAAAAATAAAAATACTCATACAATTGTATTAAATTCACACAGAACCTGTACATGTGAGAGAGTAATATTTCTTATTCTCAGTCTCAGTTCTACATATTTATTTTTCTATGTCTATAGGTTCAATATTATAGAAAATTCAAAAAATACCTTTTGAAGAACGAAAAAGTACCAAAAAGTTCCCTTTTATATGTTATCACTTAATCCGGGCGGTACATTCCTAATTTCATGTTTCTAGGTTCAATATTATAAAAAATTCAAAAAGTACCAGTCGAAGAACGAAAAAGTACCAAAAAGTCCCTTTTTATAGATTATAATTTACTCCAGGCTCTACATATTTATTTTCATGTTTCTAGGTTTAATTTTATGGAAAACTCAAAAAGTACCAGACGAAATTTTGTAGCAAGCTCAAAAAGTACCAGTCAAAGAACGAAAAAGTACCAAAAAGAGCCATTTTATAGATTCTCATTTACTCCGGGCTCTACGTGCATAATTTCATGTCTCTATGTTCAATATAATAGAAAACTCAAAAAGTACCTTTTGAAGAACGAAAAAGTACCAAAAAGTCCCCTTTTATAGGACCTCACTTAATCCGGGCTCTACATGCTTAATTTCACGTTTCTAGGTTCATTATTATACAAAAACTTAAAATGTACCTTTTGAAGAACCAAAAAGTCCCCTTTTACAGGTCCTCACTTAATCGGGGCTATACATGCTTTCATGTTTCTAGGTTTAATATTATAGAAAATTCAAAAAGTTCCTTTTGAAGAAAGAAAAAGAAGAACGAAAAAGAGAAAACTCAAAAAGTACCTTTTTAGAACCAAAAAGTTCCGAAAAGTCCCTTAATTATTAATTTCATGTTTCGATTTCAATATCATAGAAAACTCAAAAAGTACCAGTTGGAGAATGAAAAAGTACCAAAAAATATCACTTGGTACCGGTGTTCCAAATAACACCCCATTACCATATTTAGTGTTTCTTGAATAAAATCAAATTTCCCGTTTTTACCCCTTTTGGTACTTTTTTCCTCCCCATTAACGAAATAAAAATTCTGTTCCAAAAAGTTGCAACATCGTATTGGGAGCTCGTTATTATGTATTCATATGTATAAGTTAATAAACCAAAAACAATGTTTTATAAAAAAGTTCCAAAAATAGGTACAATTTTCACCCCTTAAACGTCCGAATATCCAAAAAGTACTAAATTCATAATTTTATTTGTTCGTCAAGTTATGAAGGATTCAAAAATATTTTTTGAATGTTTTCTGGTTTAAAAGATACATGGGGTGCAAAAGAAGTACCAAATTACAGTTTTTAAACATTTGAAAAAATTACCGGACACCTGCCCGTTTTTTTTAAATGAACGACGATAAGCTTTAACTGTTTTTGTAACTTTTCTAGTTTAGGAGATTTGAGGTTACCGAATTTACGTTTTTACCTTTTTTTAACCCCCAAAAAATTCGAATTTCCAAAAATCCCGTCTTATTGGATACATTTGGTGGGAGACCAACCTCCTACCCAAATTTCAACTCTTTAGCTTCAACCGTTTAGGCTCTACGATGATGAATCAGTCAGTCAGTAACGTTAGAATTTTATATATGTATGTATATAGATTTCGTGCATTGAATTATACTGTAAAAACATTGTAATGTTCGACTTGAATTTAAGTTTCGTTTTCACTGGAGAATGCTATTGAATTAAAGTGTATTTCAACACTTGAAATTTGAATGTTTGACTGGAATTAAACTTGTTTTAAACTTTAACAATTGTTTCTTGTAAATATTCGGCCACCATAGCGTTTGGAGACAACAAGATCTTCACTGAAAGGCACACCAGACAGACATCGCGCTCTATTATGGGTGTATGGTAGTGATTCTGCTGAGATCAATGGTATAATAATAAGTATGTATCCCAAGGATACCCCCTGAATACGGCAATCAGCTTCCGTCCATTGCCTTTAGGTGATAATATACCATGTCACCACTAGCCGACCGACCACCACCCGCCTAGGTGACTAGGTATATAATTGCCACTCTCTTGGCATTCTTCCAGGAGACCATCATGATGCCTCCTCTTTCTTGAAAAGAAAGACGTTCTTTATAGACCAATAAATAATTAATTAACACCATTACTTCCATTTTTTAATCTTCTAGATCTCACAAATACGCCAAATCTAGATTTCAATAAACACTTTTGGGTATTAAACGAAAACAACCCCCGCCTGGAAAAACATTTTCATCATAGTTATTAACAATTTATCTAAATTAAACCAAACACTTGCTGTTTCTTTGCACAATGACCGTCGGTATAGTAGTATAGCAATCTTATTAATTTCAATTGTTAGTAAAAAATTATTTTTTTATTTAAAGATTATCATTTCTGGCATTTTAGATTTTTGCACACACACAACAACAGACTTTTTTTCAAATAAAAAATGCAGAAAACAGTTTGGCGCGAAAAATTCTAGCAGAATTTTTTTTCGCAGTCGGCAGAATTGACATCAACTGCACTTCCCATTTAAAATACACATGTTTGATACCCTAGCCCTTTACGGTATGACATACCAGCAATGTAAAAAGGTGTAGCTTCGTTGACGTCAACGAAGCTGGTTTGAAGTAAAAGCAGCGACTCGAATTAGGCGCGTAAAACACGAAAATATCTGAGGCGAAGCATATACATCGAACGTTGAGCAAAGTTCTACACCGGCCAAATTTCAATGAGCGGCTTATTATTAGATAAAAGAAAACTTGCTTAAATGAAAACAAATTAATTTTATATTGTAAAATTCCATAAATTTAGCGAAAGTGTTCTGTAAATTGTACAAAATATGGCGAAATTTTCAAGCCGTATTAAGCGGAAAAATTTTCGGCGGCGGCGGCTTTGACATTTTGTTCGGCGGCTAGGCTTAGTAGGCTTAAGCCGAATCGGCGCAAGTCTCTGGCTGTCATATATTTGAATAGAATTTAAACGGTTGCATTTCTTTATTGTGAATGAAAGTATAAAAATTTACATACATTCCAAAAACATAGAAACGAATTTTTATTTTTAATTATTGTGAATTATTAAAACAGTTGATCGACTGAAAACAAAAAAGTCGTAAATTTTTGAAGTTTGATTTTCATTAAAAATCAAAAGTGGAATCTTAGAACTTTCCATTTTTTTGAACAAACTAGAAATATTTTATTTTCAAGCGATTGATTTCAAGCTGTCGACAATGAATTCCCACGACAATTGGATCTCCGGTCCGGTCCGGACCGACCCGATTCTTAATCGGCCAAAGATTGTCAACTCAGCAACAGCTGTATCATCCGAAGTTTTTTCCCCAGGGAAGAACATCCGGTCACAGCCAATCTGTTACAACAACAACAATGAATTTTCATACATTTTGTATCTGCCGGTCCACACTAGAAAACTATTTTTGGGAAACTTTTGATTTTGCGTGAGAGAGAAAGAAACTCCGGTACGGAGTTTCTCGTACTCGGAAACACGTTTTGTTATTCTTCTCTTTCGTACAAAAACAAATCAATGCAATTAACACGTAGTTTCTGAAACAAAAGTTTCTATGTGTAGACATTAAGGAAATTTTAAAAGAGAATTAAGAAAAAGTTTCTCAACTAAAGTTGCCGTGTGTGGACTGGCACTATGAAGAGTGAAATATCGTCTTGTGGTTGGCGATATTGTGGTTGAGATAGATTCCATTTTATTTTTATTGCGCTCTCTGTCGATCCTCTCATTGTTCATAATGATAATCTTGCAAAATTGCAAAAACAAGGTTGTTAAAATGCGCATTTTTCGCAATGTGTTATTGTTAACAGAAGATATTAAATAAAAATAATAAAAATTAAAATGCGAAAACATATTGTTTTGTTTCTTTTATTTTATTCTGAATATTTTCTTACCATTTCTATTTATTTCTTAAAAAATAATTCTAATTTTAAACAAAAACACCATTTTGTTTTCATTTTTTCCAATAAACGTCAGAAAATATGTTCTGTCGACAGTCGTTTAATTTTAATTCGTCGCTCGCTCTTTTTTTTGTGGTTTGTCGACAGCGGTTCCAATTGTAATTAAGCTGTAATGTTGACGTGTTGAAGTGAAAGAAAAATTATGATGTTAGTTTTAAATCGCTAAATTACCATCACTTGCAAGAGAGAAATTATTGTGATTTTACACCTTCCTTGGTTGAAGTAATATTTACCAAAACAATTTCTTCAGACCAATTTATTTCCCTTGATAATTGGTAATATAACTTGCCAAAATATAATTTTGCCAAACTCAAAATGAAGTGTCAATGTTAAATATTATTACAAGTTCAAAAATTCGGTGTGACAAGTTGTATAAAGCAATAAATTTATAAATTATAAAAAAAATATATTGATAAATTACAAAGATGAATAGTGGAGCTGGCAAACGCACTGGCTCTCGACATGTCCTGGTAGTTTTAATATTATGCATACTCTGGTACATTATTTCATCCAGCAATAATGTTATTGGTAAAATGGTTCTGAATGAATTTCCGTACCCCATGACGGTGACAATGATCCAACTATGCAGCATCACATTATACAGCGGACCATTCTTTAATTTATGGCGGATAAGAAAATATCAAGATATACCAAGGGGCTATTATTTCCGTTTGATAATACCTTTGGCTTTTGGTAAATTTTTAGCTTCCGTAACATCACATATTTCACTGTGGAAGGTACCCGTGTCTTATGCTCATACAGGTAAAGATGTTTTGCAATTATTACAACAAAACAAAGTTAGTGACGTGTGTGTTTTTCTAATAACACTTGTAAATTGTTTATTAATTTGTTAATGTGTTTATTTATTTGATAACACATTATAGTTAAAGCTACCATGCCATTGTTTACGGTGATTCTGACGCGTTTGATATTTCGGGAAAAACAACCTACACTGGTCTATTTGAGTTTGATACCAATTATAACGGGAGTTGGTATTGCAACTATGACAGAAATATCTTTTAATATGATGGGTTTAATATCGGCTTTAATATCAACCATGGGCTTCTCTTTGCAGAATATATTTTCCAAAAAGGTAAGTTTTTTATAAATATTTAAAAAAATGAAACATGTGGAACCTATGATGCCATACCAGCTATGTTTGAAGGGTATATACATACATACAAGTAATTCGTGGCTAGTAGGTGAGTGGTTAGTATTATAGTCTGGTAGACCGGAGGTGGTGGGTTCGATTCCCATCTGAGGTCTATGTAGGAGTATTTCTTCCTTCTTTCAAACAAACTATCAATAGCGAATATTTGTTTGAAAGTCTACATAATGTCAATATTTATTGTATTATCTTTTTATTTTAAAAGGTGCTTAAGGATACTGGTATTCATCATTTACGCTTATTACACTTACTTGGTAAATTAGCTTTATTCATGTTTTTACCGATTTGGTTATATGTTGACAGTTTTAAAGTTATACAACATCCAGCAATTGTAAGTAATTTTTATTTCATATTTTTGGCATATAATGTAAAATTCTTTTATATTTCAGACAAATTTAGATTATCGTGTTATAGCTTTGCTATTTGCCGATGGCGTTTTAAATTGGCTACAGAATATAATTGCATTTTCGGTGCTATCCCTGGTTACGCCGCTAACTTATGCTGTGGCAAGTGCATCGAAACGTATTTTTGTTATAGCTGTATCTTTGGTGATATTGGGAAATCCAGTAACATGGGTAAATTGTTTTGGCATGGCCTTGGCAATATTAGGTGTACTAAGCTACAATAGGGTAAGTTTGCATTTGTCTACTCCAAACTACAATTAGTTAATGTAAATTTTTTTCTTTTAGGCAAAACACATAAGTAAAGATAAATCCATTATACCTACAACAACACAAAAAAGTAATATAAAATACACTTCATTACCGAATAATGTTGATCCTTATTATCGTGGTTCAGTTACAACAAATCACAAAATTTCGAATGGCTATAGTTCGAAAAATACCGCAAATAGTCTTTTAGCTAATGGTAGTACTATGCCTAATGGTAGTACAACTCGTCTCTTATTTGTTTAGTTCAATTTTAAATAACTTTTTAAAAGTGAAAAAAGAAAGTTTTGGAATTTAGAAATACAATTTTATTTATAAAAAAAATATATATTTAAAGTTAAATTTTAAGTTAAACATCTGCAGGCTATCATTTTATTTTATTTTTGCCATATTCTTGTAAAACTTCTTAAATGTGATTTCATTTCAATTCTCAGTATTTTTTGTTACATAATTTTTTATCTATCGAACGATTTTTAAATGTAAAATAATGAGCCCTTTTCTTTTACTTTAATTTGTTCTTGTTCCATTGCAATATTTAAAAATGTAAATACACCAATTTTAAAAAGTATAAAAACGAAATATTAGAAATTACTGCTATAAACCTCCTATTTTTAAAGTTTAAGAATATATTCAATTAACAAAAATATATGACGCAAACTTTTGTATATATCGTAGAGAAAAGAACTACGTTAACAAATACATACATATAAATTGTAAATTGTTTATTAAAAAATAAAAAAAGTAATTTAAACAACTGGAAAATATGTGTATTTTTATTAGTGTATAATTTGTTAAAGTTAATCCTTAGAGACCGTCACATAAATCGTCATTCGCCTGATAAAAAGGTTACCTATATCATTCTAAGCTACAACTCTAAACTCTATAACAGTTGCATAAAATATGCTCCACTGTTTCTAGCTTTTATTTGTTTTAACACAATCTGCAAAAATCCTGAACCTAGAAAGGCTCAAATAGCACAGTGATCTCTTCCTGACTAATCTTAATAGTACTTTGGTTGTCTTTGTGTTTAACCTTGTTCGGCCATATGTCCTGGGATACCCTGTAAGCTATCCTACTGTGGCAGGATCGGTTGGTGGTCTTTGAATTTTTCAGAAATCGCTTGTGCAAAACATTGTGAGCAATACAATGTTTGTGGTGGTTACTGTGGTATTCTCCACATGTACAACAACAACCCTCGGAAACAACACCACCTCAAATATCAAGAATATTGAAAATGCCTAAGCAACAGCGGCCAATACTTTAAGATTATGCCGTTAAAATTAAATTGAGAGTTGGGGAACGTGATCATAAATATGGTTTACCTTTCATCATAAAGCGAAATATCAACTGCATGTTTACAGTATAACACACATCAGCACCCCTTGTAGCAATGATTTTAGAATCGCTACTACTACCAGCCCTGATAGAGCATTTTTCGATACTCACCAGCATGGTGACACTAACAAAAATATCCTCCCAGATCGCAAAAGGCATCAAACAGCAACGTGCCAGCATACCATCATTGACGCACTGTATTTATCCAATTTGGTATGGTCGATCACTCGATGCTGATCTACGACATCACGAACTCCAGACTCCCCAACGATGTCCAACGCTAGAGTTCAGAGGTCAGGGATCAGAAATGTCGCAAGATACTAATACTTACAATACTTATCTTGCTAAGCTTTCTAAACCTCCACAGACGTCTCTGATGATAATAGACTTCTTGAGAAACGCAAACCAAGTTACCTGCTTCAAAGTCATCTCTTTGGCCAAGGAAGTAAAGACGATGCTTAACATGTCCGTCAAAATCTTATTTCTTAGTAAAACAAAATGACCAGGATTACAAACGACCCAGAAGAATGCACTGCCAATTGCAACCGGATGCCGGTCAGGCAAGATAATGTGTTGTTGACCAGACAGTTCCTGTAAGCAGTCACCCAAAGATTCAAATTCTGAAGCAGGATCTCCTTCCCAGATACATCTGGATGGACTTTCGACGCTTTCGAAGTGGCATCCAAGACGTCGACAGACTGTCCAACGCTAGGGAAATGTTGCATCAAATGGCGGTCTCTGAAGCCATTATTGGCTTTTACTTAGGCATACACGAACAAAGCAGTTTCCCCAAATACTATCGCGAATGAATCGTCACTGGCGCTTTAAATCGTCTTTCACCAAAGTCCTCACACATGATGCATTTATTCAATTGTTCGCCCTATAATTAAGACCCACCGATGTGTCGCAGTTTTTCCAGTTGTCCTTACCACCTACAGACAATAACACAAATAATTCATTCTTACTATCATTTCCGGAATGGACTATCGGCCATAGGCGAACTAAATATTACAACAACCACAGGCAATACATCCTTGTAGTGTATAGCTGGTGACTGGTTTCTAAATCTTAGCATCCCTAAGTTTAACTTGTTAATTCTACTGACAATCTTCGAAACTATCCAACTCACTAGGAAATTCTGAACCAAGAACTACTAACGACTCTCTAATAGTCTCTGTTTTAATAACCTTCTATATCAAGAAGCGCAGTTAAAGTATATTCATTATGTTCAAAACAGTCCATAGTAAAGAAATTGGCTGATAGGTCCATACAATCAGTATCTGTACCACAGGAAAAATGTGTTTACAGAAGTGGGGAGTTAGACTTCGTCAACGAGTTATTTAATGTTTAAGGGTTTTTGGCTAAAATTCGACGGAACCTTATTTACGTTGTCAATAAATTTGCTGTATGTCACCCAAGAATCCTTTTTGTTCTCTTGAGATCTCCCTTATGTACTTATTCAAAACATAATTGTTCAAATATACAGAAAGTTTCGTGAACTTGGTACTATTAAACAAGTTACTAACTATCGATCCGAGGTTCCCTTGTAAACCATTTACATTATTATTTAATTAATAATTGATTCCCTATCTTTAATCCTAAACGTTGGTATGTTATCCCTTTTACAGATTATAAGATTATTTACAGTAATGGAATTAAAAACCCTCTTACCTATTTTATTAATATCAGCCCTACCTCATTAACTATAATATAAACAGAATTACGATGACGGTGTGCCTACGCCTAATCCGCAAACTTTAATTTTGAATTACGGCCACGTCCGTAGGTGTTGGTTAATGATATTAAACTCTGTCGAAGAAGACTCACAATGATTATCTACATCATTCGGCAGCTTCCTTGGACTTCTCCTGTTTAGAATACCTAGACCTTGGAGTTCCGAGACCAAAAGTGGGAACTCTCTTCACCTTATCCATACCACAATAATACTTACATAAGTGTTTACGTTTAAATACTTTATAAAATTCAAAAACTATTTTTTATATCACAATGCTCTTTAATTAATTTTATCTAATTGAATCCATTCGTAGACGACATGCCTTTCATATCCAATTTTCTGTAGTAATGATTCAGATTTTACGTTTCCAACAACAACAAAAGCAGATGAATGAACATTTGACGATGTAGCTATTAACTGGCTCATTGAAATTGCCAAGTATTGACCAATACCCATACGTTGGGCTGAGGGTAAAACTTGCAGTATTCTTTAATTAATAATTAAAAAAGTTTAATGAAATAACTACTAGAATAGTTAATAATACTCACGCTAAACCGGAAAATTCATTTTGAAAAATCCAACCAACTAAATTATTAGTTGATGTTTCCATAATACCAATACATCTTTTTAACTTGATAAAACCTTTAATGTAATTTAAAGATGCTTCCTTATTATTAGCCCAATTAGCGTGAATTAAATCGGCGTGATGTTGTTCTATGGAAATTACCTTAAAACCCTTGGCAAGTCTTTTATGATAAACAAGTTAACATTAGTGTTAAAATATCACGATGAAGAGATTTTAATAAAGTTCTTTGATATTCCTACCAAAAATTACCTTGGTACTTTAAGATTTAGCGCTTTGTCGCGATTTAAAATAAGACCTTGACATTGTCGGGCCTTTTGTATTGAGCCTCCTTTAGAGATGACGATTTTCTTGACTGCTTCGCTACATTCATGCGTAACGCTTATAAGTAGAGGTCCATTTTTCCACTGTATTAAATTTGTATTATTTAAACATTCTAACAATTCAGTACAGTTCGGTTCCCAGGTATGAAAAGCGACACTTTGAATCTGTAAGTTTAGTATTCATTAATTAAAGTTTTGGTCTTATTTTAGGCGACTTGAGGGTCCATATGAGACCAAATTTGTTTTATAGACTTTAAAATTATCGACCCACCAAATCTTGATGTAAACAAATATAAGTTCCATATTTACGAAAATCTCCATTACGATGTGTATAGAAGGTTTTACGAAACGAAATCCATTCCTGGTTATCTTTGTCGATATTCAACTCCGTCAATTGTCTATTCCATTGAAATTGTGTGAAGAGCAGTAAGTATTGAAAACCATTTGAGTTATATTTTTCTTTATATAATTCCAATAATTCACTAAACTCTTCATCATTGAGTGGTCGTAATATATCAAACATATCATTATATTTCGTACTTTCCGCCTGATGATGATTACTGGTCATTTTGTCCACTACAATATATTTTAGGGTTGAATCTTATCAATTACTTCTGTTTGTATACAAACTATAGTTTTATAAAAAAAATCAAAAATTATTATCAGTGCTACAATTGAGTACCTACTGATCTTAGGTAAAACGTGAACGTTACTAAATCTTGTATAGTATTATTGTTTATTAAATTTTAAAATGTACCTAGTACGATTGAGATTAAATAGATGTCTAGTAGACTAGTTTAATCGTAAATTGTATTCAATTATTGAGAGAGACAAACGAACATGATAATGAGAATTGTTACTTCTATATGTATGTGTATATAAAGATAAACCCCGGCAATTCTGGATTAGTGTCTCAAACTATTGACTCAGGGATGGAAAATGAGATTTTGTGTCAGTATCAAAAAATATTTCAGAGGGTACTTTTTTGGATCTCAAAGTACTAAAATATTTTTTTTGCTAAATGATGGCAATTTCTTAACTACATTTACATTTAATTTTTTTAAACAATCCATAACAGAAGTAGAAAGGCATTATATGTTAATATGATGAATCCTTGTCCGTCCCTCAATGTTCACCTTTTACATCTCAAATATTAGCCAGATATTGTACTATGTAAATATCTTAAATTTAAAGCTGTCATGATATAATTTATTATATTTTAATAAATCCGGCATTAATTAAAATCGGTCCACATTTCGCCCTATAAAAGGACGAATTTAGAATTTCAACTTAATGCTAATAATTGAGCTACAAGTATTAGTACACAGAAAAAATTATCAGTATTTTATTTTCAATTAACATGTTTTTCTCTTAATTTTAATTAATTTAAGCAATTTTTTATTTGTCTTAATTATCTCGTTGTTTAAAACCTAAGTTTACAAATTTGATTAAATTTTTAATTGATTCAATTAGTTTTTTAATTCATTGAAAAAAATTTTCTGGCCAACTTTTCTATTTTAACTTTTTTTAAATATTTTATTTTGATTTCTTATGCTAACAATGTTTATAATTCTTAAATAGTCAATACGATTTTAGGCATATAATATTCAAGTTTCCTGACATTTTATAAAACACTTTATATGTTCAAATTTGATAATAAAGTGATATTTTTTGCAAATGCTCAAAGCATTGTTAAAGGTCAAGCATTCCTTTAACATTGTGAGTAATCAGTTAATAATTTGATTGTTTTAATCATCAATCTAATTGGTTTTTAATACATTTTCTACCAAACAAACTAATTCATTTGATTAATAAATTAATAAAAATTAGATTTTATTTTTATTAAATATTTAATTTATACAATTAATGAATTAATCAATTTTAAATTTTGTCTCAATTATTGATATTAATTGTTCTGATAAATTCGTTATTTGGAAAAAAAAGTATTTTTTTTAATTTTTTTTACAAATTTGATAATTGATATCATCATTTTGGTGATAGGTGCAAAACTTGCTTGATACAATTATTTTGATAATTGAAACATATTTTTAGTTTTTTCTGTGTATCGACTGTTCATTGTCAATAAATCGCTTAAATATGTGTTATTGAATTAAAATCCGTCGTGGGACCTTAAATAGGATATTTACTCGTACATCCGATTCTGAATATGACATGAAACAATAATTTGCTTAAAAGTCCAAATATTTTTGACCTAAAACTTCTTATATTATCCTTGGTTAAAAGCTTAGTTTCAAAACATATCGTTTTATAATAGATTGAATCCTTCGAGTTTCTATCATTTGGAAATCATTTGTTTTAAAGTCAAATATTATTTCAAAATTTTAATTTCTGGTAATTTTCTCATAAAATATTAACAATGAAATTTTAATAAGATTAATATTCATATAATGTCAATTAAGATAAAAATATGTACAACTTTATTAGCCGTTTATAATTTTATTATTATTTTTTTTAGAAAAAACGACTTTTAGTTGATGCATTTTTGAGAATATATATAACAATGTGCTAAAACACTCTTGGTATTTAAAATTTTAAATATACTTTAACGTGTTATTTTTTTATCGAAACGATATATTAAAGGTTTTCATACAAAAATTCTTTATCTATCTGTTAAACGATAATCGGATATTGTGATTGTGGCCCTGAGAGTATCAAATAAGACTCGGGAGTACAACGGTACTTTTGAACATCAAATAGTATCAAAAAAAGTACCATCGTACCAATTTTGCCATCCCTTGTTTATAAATTAGTTATATGATTTTGCTCATCAACGAAACAAGATAATAATATCTGGTCTATATTTTGGGAATTGATAGTTATTTGTAATAAAAATAATTACTTATTCCCTATTTGTTAATATTATTTATTCCCTGATTTAAATTGTTAGCTCTGATTTAAAACAATTTAAATTTCTGATTCGGATTCCACTTATACCCAGACTAACATCCAATATTTATCTTTTCAATATCAGTTCTAAGTGTAATTCCTTAATTCTATTTATGGGTTATTTTGATTAATGCTTGGCTAAAGGCCCAAATAGACTACACAAGTGGCTTGACAAACATACCAATATTTTACGTTTGTGCAAGCCTGTTGTGTAGTGTATGAGGGTGTTTCCTGTTTGTACAAATGCTTGCTGTTTGTTTGTACAAAAATTAAAAAATTTTGATTTTTACACAAACATATTGAATTTTTGTCAAACCATTTGTATGGTTTGTATTCAATAATAACAAATTTTTCAAAAAATTTGCATTTCTAAGAAAAATTGACATCTGTGTCTTTGAAAGACCACAAAAACGTGAAAAAAATCGGTGTTTGTACGAGCAATGTTTGTGTAATGTGTGTGCGAATGGAAAAAGTATGTTTGATAAGCCGCTTGTGTAGTCTATTTGGGCCTTAACTTTCTAATAAAATAGGTTTGGAATGTCTGTGTATCGTAAGGTACAAATAGTGTCCGCCGTGGTCCAATGTCATTGTGTTCAGTCAAATATAAAAGAAAGAAAGAAGACAGAGATATGTAATAAAACTGAGATCTAAAGGATCCAGGTTAGTTCTTGAACAATAATAGATTTAGATCTCGAAGTGGTAGAAATGTGATAAGATATCATTAGTCTCGCTATATACTACCAATCAATAAACTAGTTTATTACCCTGATGAAACGAAGCAGATTGGATTGGTAACACCCAGCAATATTGCCGAGTTTGTCGTGGAACCTATTTTCTAAGCAATCTAAATTTTCACAAAGTATTTTTCTAAATCCGTTTAAATATTTTTCAGAACGTCTTGAAATTATTAACATTTTCCAATCAAATGGAACATTTATAAATCTATTGATTTTTCTTTCAGGCCAATTATGAACAATTATTCCCCGGGAATTTGTTACCTTTTGTGTGCTTTAGGTATAGGAGAGGGAACAAACTCCCAAGGAGTATTTTATCCAGAATAGGCCTGAATCAGGCCTTTAAGGCCCAAATAGACTACACAAGCGGCTTGACAAACATACCAATATTTTACGTTTGTGCAAGCCTGTTGTGTAGTGTAGGAGGGTGTTTCGTGTTTGTACAAATGCTTGCTGTTTGTTTGTACAAAAATTAAAAAATTTTGATTTTTACACAAACATATTGAATTTTTGACAAACCATTTGTATGGTTTATATTCATCAATAACAAATTTTTCAAAAAATTTACATTTTTAAGAAAAATTGATATCTGTATCTTTGAAAGTCCACAAAAAAGTGAAAAAATCGGTGTTTGTACGAGCAATGTTTGTGTAGTGTGTGTGCGAATGAAAAAAGTATGTTTGATAAGCCGCTTGTGTAGTCTATTTGGGCCTTTAATTGTTTGCCTGTTTCATTTCCTGTTAACAAAACTGTTATACAAAAATTTAAATTTGTAACTATGGAAACCATAATAAACAATTTGAAAATACAAAATAATTTTGTTTAAATTCGTAAATATTTTCAAGAATTTAATTTAACTACATTGATATAATGGTTCGCAGTAAGAAAAGAATTTAATAATATTAAATAAATCGTCATAAACAGTAATTTATCTTGTTTATCTTTAGTAACTGAGGAATTGGTGCGTAAGAAATCTGAGCATAATGAATTACTAATAAGTACCTTGGAGGAACTTTCTTTGCATCAGGAAGACATTGAACGTATAGAGCATTTGCATAACTGGTGTCGTGATCTGAAGATCTTATTATTGCAATCGAATTTAATTTCGAAAATAGAAAATTTATACAAACTTAAACGACTGGAATATTTGAATTTGGCACTAAACAATATTGAACGGGTGGAGAATTTAGAAAAGTTGGAATCATTAAATAAGTTGGATTTAACACTAAACTTTATAGGTGAACTGACCTCAATTGAAAGTCTCAAGGATAATTATAATCTAAGATCACTGATATTGACTGGAAATCCTTGTTGTGATTATCCCAATTATAGGGAATTTGTGATTGCTACATTGCCCCAGTTAGAGAGTTTAGATTGCCAAGAGATAACTTTGACTCAGAAGTTAAAGGTCAAGCCCCATCTGAAGGCATATCGTGCAGTTATTATACAAAAACAAGCCGACTATGCCATGCAACGTGATGAACAAAAGCTACGTTTTCAACAACAAAAGGAAGAACTGGAGGCTAAGATGTCCACCATCGAAGATGAGGATGAGCGTATAAAAACCTTTTGGGATTCAAAAAGTGAAAATTGTCCTGAAATACGTCAAGAAATTGCTAAATATCACCGCAAAGGACGTGAAACAAGTTGTGATGTTGCGGATAATAAGAAAAAGTCCATTGAACCAAAGTTATTTGCTCCGTGTGGACGTCCCTATAATATTAACAAACCCAATTTGCCATTTGCGCTTAGCGACGAAGATGGCGAATACATATTAAAACTGGAGGTTTACAAGTAAGTAAAATTACTTAATATATTAGTGGTAACAACTTGTTTGTTATTAAATTAAAGTTTGAACACACTCTGCTTAATGAATTAATGGCGTGATCACTTCATCACAATAGTTAAAGTGATTATTGCAGGAAATCAATACAAAATCTTTGCTTAAGAATCTATAAAACCTTTATGTTGCTCCCCATTTTTTAGATTCCTCGATACTTCTCACATTAAAGTGGAAATCGAAGTTAATTATATCCGAGTAACTGTCAAGGGTAAAATTTTTCAAATAGCACTTAATGTTGAAGTTAAACCCTCTGACGCGGTAGTCCAACGTTCACAAATAACAGGTCAATTAGTTATACATGTTCCTAAGCTGCATGAAAATGAAATTTTGAAATCTAAATCAACTGGTAAGTTCTTTTGGATTTAATAAACTCTTTTGTCTCCCGATTTTGAATCTATTTAAAAACTCATTGAATTAGATCCAGAATGAATAGAATGACTATAGCTTGTAGTCGTTCAATTTTGATATTTAAAAATATTTAATTCAAGTAGCGAAATCAGTAAATGCTACTCAAGTATCTCAAGTGGTTCTGTTGGCGCTTGTTCTGGAAATAGTTGTTTTTAGAACAAATTTGAAAAATTTTCCGGGAAATTAAAAATTGTTAAGAGATTATTATAACAGATTAAAAACAATTTATTATTAATGTAAATCTGGACGTTAAAGATTTGACGGATTCTTATAATATAATTCTCTACAAGCTTTGTAAACAAACAAGTTGTCCGACATAGACCAATATAGCCGCATTACTTTCGTAATCTTAAATATTAAAAAATTATAAATTCATCATCATAATCATCTGATAACTTTTTTTTTATTCTAGGCAAAACTATTGAGACCAATAATAAAAATTTCGATAACAGGTAAGTGTTTTTAATTGAATTATCAATATTAAAAAGGCGTCTGACTAAAGTCATTTGGACAATTACGCTTAATATGACATTACTGTATTTTGGCACGAGTAAACTACATCAGAAGTACAATTTTGAATGAATGTTTAATAATTTTAGATAAAATATTTTTGTAATTTAGTGGAACCGTGAGATTTTTAAAATCGCGTTTACGCACGCTTATGAAATAAAATATTTAATCTCGTATTCTTGATGAAACATATTTGCTCTGCACTCTCTTGAACTCCGCTGAATCCCAAAATACATACATATGTTAAAAAAACAGGCTTCTCAGCAGTTCAGCCGGACAGTCCAGAATTACCGATGACTACCTATTTTAACATGTGCTTATCGTACAAGGATAATGCATAAAGAGTGCGAAAGTGACAATCGGGAGTCAATGCATAATAATTAACATTTTTACTTAAGATTGTGTTTTAGTGTCCACTCTCTATACTACATAAAGACCCTTAAATAATGACAGTCTTCGCTCCGGTTACCAAAGGTATACTAAAGGAGCGACATTCTTTACACTCGTTTTACAAATAGTACATTCGTGACGTTAGTGGAAATGACAGTCTTTTTCGGATGCGTTAACTCTTTGTCAAAATGCAGAATTCGACACGGAAATCATTACTGTTTTTCCACATTTGAATAAGAATGACATTTAGCAAAACCCAATACCCTGCAAAAATTGGACCTACTCTACATACTCATGAAAAGAGTACTTCTCAAAAGACAAGGGCTGGTCCAAAACTAATGCAAATACATAAAAAAACATACTACATTTAACATTGTAATGAGTTGAGGACCTCGTAATCCATCCATTACATCAGAGTCCAAAAAGCAATAAACATAGTTCGTGCTTGCATTTCACTTCTAAATGTTTATATACTCCAAGTAGGGCTGTGTAACACGATGCGCTATTGAGCTGAAACTAAATTTTATCCAGGTTCATTTCAGCCCAAAAAAAGCCCGTAATCATGGCTTCGTAGCTCCCGCAGTTGATCGTTATTGCATTATTTTCAAAACTGCCACTCTCCGTGGGTACATTGGCTTCTTGACAATATCTGGCGGGGGTTTTCCTATACCCAAACGCGTTAATTTTGTTTGTTGACATAGCAGCCAACGTGAAAATGCAGCTCGTCAAAAAAGAAGATTTTTATAAAGTGGAGCATCTCGTTCAGAACGAAACTGATGTCAAAGTAATGCGTTAGTGACGATGTTATTGAATTAAGTTGCACCATTTGGCAACAAAAGTACCCACCGATGATCTGGACCAATAATTCAGATTCGCGAACTTTTTGCACAAATTTGTGTACTTCACTCACTATGGGTACGGTTTTGGCAACAAAACACTTACTTTGGAAATAGTTGTGTAAAAATTTCACAACGCGCCAAGCCCGCGAATACTGACATTCCAAATAACATATGATAATCATGGACAATCATGTACAATGACTGTTTCAAAAGGGCACGCGAGTTTTCTAAGAAGAGTTTGACCTTTGCCCGATCGTTACGGCAAAGACTATTATCAAAAACTCTCAATTCCAAAGTAATGGAGCATTCGCTTCCCAATAAGTTCAATAGACTAGATGTTAGGTAATATGCTATTAAAAAATTGACATTGCCCTTTACTTATTTAACGACTAATTTTCCTTTGGAAAAGTCAATGAAATCGGTATTTGCGAGAACGATTTAACATTTCGTGCAAAATAGTGCAAAGTTTAGAGAGCAGAAGAAATACTGCATGGTGTGGGGTCATAGCAAAAATCATAGTAATAATAAATAGATAAAAACTCAGTTATATAGAATATCCTCCTTTTTTTCTTTTAGGTCTCGACAACTTAAAGGAACCGTCAAACTCGATGCCATTTGCAGCAAAATCGATGAAGAAATTCCAGATTTGATTTGAATTAAAAAACACTTTTTAATTATTTAATTAAAAATCTTTTATTTTTTATTGTTTTTACTTTATTATTTCTTATGTACGAGTAATTTTATGTAAACTTTACATAATCTATAGTTTTTGTTTTTTTTTTTTTAATTTGTTCTTGAATCATCATCAGTATGTTGTGGTGTTATATTTAAATATTCTTGTGTTTGGGGTTTGTGGCATGTAAATTTTTATGCATTTTTTAAATTTATTTTAAATACTAATTTTGTTTAATAATACATTTTGCTTAATTTTGTATTTGGTGTATTATTGCAAATAAAAAAACGTTATTTTTTTACATAATTTTCGAATTTTGGAATGAACATGGAGATTTTTTAATAATAAACAGGCGAATTTTGAAATGGATTATATACATAGAATCTGGTGTGTTTATACATAATATAATTCTAATAAATGTGTTGTATGTTTTATTTTAAATTAAAAAATATTTCAAATCTAAGCTAGAAGTTTAAAGTACTAAACAATTTGGAAAATAATATTTGACTGAAAATGTTTAAATACGAATTGTTAAGTTTTTTTGGTTTATGAAAGAGGATTTATTTAGAACTTTGCATGAATTTAAGAAAAATTCTGATTACTAACTGCAGTAGAGTTGTGGAAAGGGAATAGATATTCAAATCCTTCTTCGAAATACTTCCTGAAATTTGCTTTTCGGTTAGAGCCATGTTCATTAAAGGTTAAAGGCTGGGCCAGTAATGGCTGGCTTTTAAGTTAATGTTAACTCTCTCCATTTCTTGAGAATGTACTATGATTCCAGGATACCCCTGAATGTTCTAATAAGTCATGACGTAATGATTTGGGACACCGCTAAGTGTTCTAAAATAGTAACATCATATTTTTCTTGGGTCAGTACTCAGGGTTTGACCCCTACTTATGCAGTACATTGTGTTAGAACTAGTGTTTGCGGGGATGACCCCTACTTATGAAGTACATTGCATTGGTGTTTGCGGACATTCGATTTAAATCTTCTTACATTGAAATTGGCAGGGAACTCTTCTGCAGGAAGCTTGTTCCACATACGAAAGGTGTGGCTGAAGAATGAATTTTCCCAATTTTCAACCACAAATGAGCGTGTTCTTTATGAAAGACGTGTGTTGTGTAAAAAATACGGATATCGGGAACAAGTTCCCTAATTTCAGAGGAACACATTCCATTTTAATATCGATAGAACAGTGAAATACACCCAACGTTGTGAAAGTGCTCCGGAGAATCAATGGACTTGAATAGCCTACTATCACCTATAAGTACCTATGCCCTCTCATTTACGCGATATATTAGCATTAAGCCCACATATGGGAGTTGTATTCCATTTTCGGTCGTATATAAGTGATGTAAGGAGAACAGATGGAGTGAAGTATATGAAGTATATATTGAATGTTTCTTTCGGCACTCGAATAATGTGTTTAGTCCAGTGGACATCGCACTGTATTTTCATGCCCAGAACATCAAGAGTTTCTGATTCCTTAATATTTACAGCACCAATAAATATAGATGAAACATTATCTGTCATGCCTCTATAACACGACCACGTTCAGTTGGAAGTTTGAACGGTGCCTTGCGGTACCCCTGAAATTTATCTTGAACCTATCTATAACAACTCGCATAGTGCGATCTCTGAGAAAGCTCGAAATAAACAGAATAAATCGACATTAAATGCTATTAGTTTTGATATACATAAATGCACCATCAAACGCCTTGGAAAAATCTAGAGCCACAACTTTACTTTCACCAATGTGGTGAATGGAATAACATAATTTCTACGAAAAGAGTGCTAGTAGGTCTCCCGAAGAGTGATCTCTACCAAAGCCATACTGGCGATCGTTATGTACAATGTTGGTCTCTAAATTCTTAAGAAGCTGGTAAGTAGTTTACTATACTTTCCATAACTTTTGAAAGTGCGATACAAATTCATATCGTGGAGATCTTTTAGAAATTGCCGTATATAAGCAATCTTCCAACATGCAGGAAATTTGTCTATGGGGTATGGAATGCTGAAAAGAAAAGCTTTAAGGTACTCCATCTGGTACAAGAGACTTATTTATATTGAAACCCCATATCGAAACTTTTTAGGAAATTCCAAAAGGCGCCGTTCGTGTAGTGTTTTTTACGTGTAAATACTCACGAAGACCTCGCCTTTTTGTGCAGCGTGTCGGTTTGGATGTTTTTGTTATTGCGCCAAGTTCTGAAAGTTTTCTCTCTGGATCTGATTGCGCTTTTGCGTTTCCGACCAAGATTTTTGCCTCAGTTAAATCGACGATGTTTTTATTCCAACCATAATTATATTTTCAGCCATTTTCGTCATGGCATTGACATTTTTCTCTAGGAATCAGAGTTTCCAATTGAATTGCCGAAAGAATTCGTTGAGCTCAGTCCAGCGAGCCTTTTCGTAAATAAAACTTTATCGTTTCGTAGCTTTTTGTGTAAGATGTTTCAGTATTCCGGTACTATTTTCCGTGAATTTACGCCATTTCATTATGAATCCTGTTGTAACCATTCTCCGATTGTTTATAAACCGAGATAACAAATGTATTCGAAGTCCTCGATAATCCCATTATACATTTGAAAGAAGAAATGTGTTTGTTGAATCGATATACATTATTTTGGTCTTCCCGAAATAATAATTTTCAAATCAACTATTGTTGCATTAGCGTATTGTTTTTAATGTTTATTCTCAATATCGGAGAATTCCAGCGTATACAACGGTAGAGTCGATATTAGTTTTACGCCAAACTTAGTTTGTCCATTATAATGGACTCGGGACTCTGAATATGTGTATAACTCCAGTTTTTGGGCACTGTTACAACTATTCTTTCTTTCTGTAACATGGGTATCGTGTTGATGTTCCATACCCTTCGGATGTGCTATAGGTCTGTCATCGTACTTTAGTAGTGGAGTTTCTGAGAGTAAAAAAGAAAGAAGTAGAGTCGAATGGACTCCGTTTTGACAGAAATACAAATTCTGGACATAAGTTGTAATAACATTTAATATCATTTTATTTTGCCCCTTATTTAAGATCTCAAGACGATGTTTTTATTTTAGCTATCTGCAGACGAGGTGATATTTGAAAAAGAAGTTTTTTGAAAGGAAACTCATAAGTTTTTCTATAATTTAGTGGATTTTTATTAGGTATAATGAAAACCAAACTTTAAAGATCATTTTTAAATAACTGAATATATGTATGTCAGTATGTATTATTGCACAATTAAACGATATGAAAGACATAAAAAATAAATTTTTTATAAGGAGCGGAGAGGGTCTGGCTGTAATGTAAAGTAAATATTTGTAAAATAAATATATGATGTATATGTTAGTTTGTTGTTAGGGAAATTTATTGTGGTTTTTGTTTGCGGAATTTGTGTTTTTTATATTTTTTGTTGTGTTGTCTTCTAAATTTTGTGTTCACAATCTTATTTTCTCTCTCACAGGATAGAATTGTTGTTGTTGTTGCTGTTTTTTTTTTACTGATTTAGATATTCTTATATTTTAATTATTACTTTTTTTTTTGTTTTCTTTACATGTGTTTATATATTTTATTATATAGTTATTTTTTTGTTTGTTGTTGTTGGTTTGTTTATTATTTTAAGTAAATCTAAATTGTAGTGACAATTAATAATGAGTTGGGTTCTGTTTTTAAATTTATATTAATGTTGTTTTTTTATTTATTTATTAATTACCTTTAAGATGTATCAGTTCTATTGATGTTAAATTTGAGTTTTTTTTTTTTTTTTGTTTTTCTTTTAATTTTAAATATCAAAGAAAATATCATAATGTAATAATTTCTGATGATAATGATGATGATGTTACAAATCTGTTAACAAACTAATTTACGTATGAATAAATGTATATGAGAATAAATGTTTAAATTAGAATAAGATGATGAAGAGTTTAGCTTTGAACGTGATAATAAAATAATAAAACTAGATCTCTTCCATACTTTTTATATAGATTTTGTTACATGATAAATTGTAATAAAAAAATGTTCTTAATAAAAATATACAGTATATGTATGGTTATATCGCGTGTGTGTGTGTGTTTGTAATTTTATCGTTTTTAATTTAATTTTAACTATTGATTTTAGTCAATATTTTAATACAGTCGTCAAGTTTGTAAACAATTAAAGAGCACTCTCCATACCCACTTAACAATTATTGTTGTGTTCTTTGTTTTCTTTTATAATTTATTGTTTATTTTTGCAAAATATACATATTTTATTTATATTATAGATAGAAATCATAAAAAAGCTGCTTAAATTTTTTGTAGTTTTGTATTCCTGTCTTTTGTTTGCATCGGTATATAGGCACACTGTTTCCCTTTGCGACTAGTTATATTTATATATTTCTAAAAGGCCCATATGGCTATTATAATAAAATGATCTAAAATATGGAATGAGATCCTTAAATCTATGAACGATATTTTTAAAAAACACGCAAAAAATACGAAGCTACAGATTCACATAGAAATATGTTTCTGAATTGCGCTACATGGAAAAGGCGCATCTTGGTTTGTTGGTTTCGTTTTAAGTTACTCTAAGGAGGGATTATTTATTCTCGAAATTCATAACGCATCTAATGCTTTGCAATAGTGGAACGCAAAACTCTCGAAGACAGACAAAAAAGGACGACCTGTCTTATTAGTAGACAGTAGTAGAACATTTAATGATGTTGAGAGAAATCTTCTGGGGGAGAGATATCCTCTCCTACCAGGACATGTGTTCATTGGACGAAGCTATCTTGTTTTGAGTGTAACTGCGCCAGTGCAAATGTAAAAAAACCCAAATGTCCCAAAAGCCAAGGAAATAGATTAAATAATCGAAGTAAATAAAGAAAAATAAGGATTATTGTATAAATAGACATACATATGTAGATATAAACTAAGGCCACTCGACAGTGGCAATTCTGGTCTGAGGTGACCAGGCGGTCAGACCAATAACTGTTGTTTGATTTTCCACAGTTTTGTGGCCTGCTTGTACTGGTTTGATGCATTAGTTTGAAAAAAAAATAACATTGACATCGGTTCCATACTGAAGTTTTCATATTTATATCCAATATGAGACATCGGAATATTGCATTAAGTCGTATGCAAACATAGAAGTGTTTCATTTCAGTCGTATTTCAAGTTTGAATTGGGAATCAACTCTCGCGTCATTGCCATTATTTTTTAAAGAC